TCCTATGTGGCGTGTAAAAAAAAAGTAGGTTTTAATGAAAGAGAGGAACCATACATAAGTCTTAGGCTACCAGGGCCTCGGAAACTATGCCATTTTCCCTCACCTCCAGGAAGGAAGTGGGCTCAGACCGGAGACATAGAGAAATGAATCACCCTCAGTCAAGTGAGGGGGGGGGATCCCCAGGGGGATGAGGTCACCACTTGCCAATCAGAGGGTGCTGCCCCTTTTGGTGGCCCCTCTACATTCACCCATCCCTGGGCAGAACTGGGAATCCTCCTTCCACACCCAGCTGCACAGATGGTAGTAGAAGAGTTTTAGAAAGCCCTTAGGCACTGGGCACCAAGTTCCTGCTCTCTTTTTCCCATCCCCTGCTTCCTTCAGAATCCAGGCTACCAGCCCTACAAGCTTCTCCTTATAATACAGTCCTGACCCCCTTCCCTTGTATATGGAACCCAGTTCTCATCTTCTCAGTCCTGTTTCCGACCCCCAATAATTCTGACCTTTACCTCTTCTGAGTTCTAAGTTTTAGTCAGGAGTGTTCTCCTTGAAATAGTACTCCCCCAATCCTGTGTCCAGCCTGGCTCCTCTTCCAGAAATGACCAAGGGGACTGCTTTGGAGAGTTTGGTGCTGTTAGGGTAGGGGATTGTGGGGTCTTTGGACAGAAGGTAGTTGAGCTGGGGAAAAAACATGGTAAGCAAAATCAGGGGCAGAGCTGAAACACAGTATTTATATTGGAAAGAAGCATGGTAGGATGGAAAGACTACTGGATTCAGTATCAGAAGATATTCTGGAATCAGCAGACTTGGATTCATCCCAGCTCTGGTACTTTCTAGTTCTATGACCTTGGACAGGTCATTTCCCCTCAGTTTCTTTGTCTGTAAAATGAAGGCTTTGGACTAAATGATCTCTGAAGTTTCTTCTAGCTGTAATATTCTGTGATGTTAGGAAATGTTTGAAAATGTCACCCTAACTGACATCTGCCTCCCTCCCTCATGACTCACTATAACATATAACAACTTAGCATAGAATTCCTATGTGCCAAGAACAGACTTTTCCAGCATTAATATTTATTAAGAGTAACATCAAAGAGTGTCCCTCATACACACCTTGCATTGCCCCTGCCTTGTCCTGGCTCTTCTAAAGAAGCCCTTTCTGACTTTTGGGGGGGTACATTTCAGGCCGGCAGTGATGGTGCCAAGATTGGGAACTGCCCCTTCTCCCAAAGACTTTTCATGGTGCTCTGGCTTAAGGGTGTCACCTTCAATGTCACCACTGTAGACACCAAGAGGTGAGAGCCTGCTTCTACTCACTCCTGTGCAACCCCACCCTTTCTTTCCTCTCTCTTAGTCCTCTAGCTCTACTCTCTTTTCCTCCTCTATACCTCACCCATTTGCCCACCCTTCCTTTGCTATGCTGAATTTCTCTCCTGGAGGTTACTTCCTACAAACAAGCCTTCTCTCTTTCCCAGACTTGATCTCCCTACTCCCCTTACTTTTCCCCCTTCTTGTTCTCTTTTCTAGTTCCTTCCCCATCCTAAGTTTCTGACTCTCTGAAATTCCAAGCCACCTCCCCATTTCCCTGATGACTGGGTTCCTACTGCAGGAGAACAGAGACAGTACAGAAGTTGTGTCCTGGAGGTCAGCTCCCATTTTTACTGTATGGCACTGAAGTACACACGGACACTAACAAGATTGAAGAGTTTTTGGAGGAGGTGCTGAGTCCCCCTAGGTATGTATGGGGAACCTGGGTTGGGAAAGAGCAGAAGAATCAGGGGAATGAGGAGAAAAGTAGGGAGAATCTGAAATGTCTGAGATGGGAGCAGCTCCCAGGTTGTCAGGTATTACTTAGGACATCTCTTTCTTACTGCCCCATCTCCCACCTGATCTCAGGTACCCCAAGTTGGCAGCTAAGAACCCAGAATCCAACACAGCTGGACTAGATGTCTTCGCCAAATTTTCTGCCTACATCAAGAATTCAAACCCAGCACTCAATGCCAGTAAGTCTGAAGGTCCAGAGGCCTGGGTCCTGGTAGAAATGTGGGAACTGGGTGGACAAAATCAGAGACTGAGTGGAGGGCCTAGATGCCAGGGGAGAACAGAAGCTGGGAAATAGAAGATAGAAGAAGGGAAAAGATGCTAATAGTTTATAAGTGAGGGAAGCAGTGATTAACATTCTCTCCCCAACCTTGTGTTATAAAATCTCTCTTTTTTATAGGTCCCTGTATTTCCCTCCATTTTCATTAGCTGAACCCTTTGAATCTCCATGATTGCTTCTCCAGGCTTTCTGGTTGCTTAGGTCCACCCCATGTTTAATGGTTCATTCCATAATTAGGCATTTGGACCATTAACTGACTGCTTCTTTCTAGCTTCTTCTGATTAGCAATCCCTCATTTTTTTTTCCCTGGCCTACATTCTCTTCTGTCTTGATTTTTTCCTGTGAGACTTTCCCCACCATTTTGATCCCAATTCTTCAACAGACTTGGAAAAGGGGCTGTTGAAAGCCCTGAAGGTTCTTGACAACTATCTGACATCACCACTTCCTGAGGAGATTGATGAGACAAGTGCAGAAGATGAAGGTGTTTCCCACAGAAAGTTTCTGGATGGTGATGAGCTTACATTGGCTGATTGCAACCTACTGCCCAAGCTCCACATTGTACAGGTAGGTTGGCAGGAGAAGGAGGAAATAGCAAAGTAGCTGCTTTGGTGAACTCTCAGCACAACTGTCTTCATAAGGACTACCATCCCCTATCATGGTTACTCCAGCAGGGTGTCTCCTCAGGGGTGACTCACTTTCCAAGATAGCTGATAATAATATACGACTCAGTGTCCCTTGATCGTTCATTTCTGGTTTCTGCTTAATTGAGTTGGCTCCCCAGACTTTAGCCCAGAGGTTCTTAGCTGTGTGACCCTAGGCAAGTCTTAACCTCTTTTCTCATATGTAAAATGGGGATAATAGCACCTACCTTACAGTGTTGTGAGGATCAAATGAGATAACATATAAAGTGCTTCGAAAATCTTTATGTATTTTAATACTACTTTAATATAATTATTTTCCTCTGTAATCCTTTGTATTTTATTTTATGCATTTAAAAGCATTTTTGAGAAGGGGGTCCAGCCTACTAAAGGGGTCTGTGACATAAAAAAGGTTAAAGACTCCCACTTTAAGACTGACTGTTGGGGCAGCTAGGTGGTGCAGTGGAGAGAGCACCGGCCCTAGAGTCAGGAAGACCTGAGTTCAAATCTGGCCTCAGACACTTGCCACTAGCTGTATGACCCTGGGTAAGTCACTTAACCCCAACTGCCCCACCAAAGAGGGAAGAAAAAAAAAGACTGACTATTCAACATACTCATGATTACTACTGAGGCTGTCCTGTGGACTACCCTTCTGTCAAATAGATGGGGGATATCTCTTCCTTCTGGAGACTTCTCTCTGAGGTCTAGCCTCCATTCTTCCCATTACAATATAAGTCTGCTCCCCCTGGTGGAAGATAAAGCCTTTTTGTGATAATTTTCAAATATATTGGTGGCCTTCTTAAAAGAGGAGCCCAAAGTCAATCAATCAGCAAATATGTATAAGTTAAGCAGCAACAGCTGTTTTATTGGGGGTGGGGGTGGGGTTTGTCTTTAAAGAGCTAGCAATCTAGTTGAGAAGATGGAACATTCACACAAAGAGCTAAGGATATAAGGCAATTTACAAGTACTAAATGAGTGTTACTTAGTGCTTGAGAAGTTTAGGGAATATATCTCTTTTAATTGGGTTGACAAAGATTTCATAGTGAAGTCTTTTTTAGCAAGGCCTTAAAGATGAAGAGTAAGTAGGATTTGGAGGGGGACTGGAGGGGGAAAAAGAAGGGAAGGCATTTGAAACAGAATAAATCGGTGAGCAAAAGTAAAGAGTCAAGATAGTGGACTACTTTGACGGGTGGAGGGCTTGGGCAAGGGGATAGTGGAAAACTTGAGATAGAGGTTGGGGGCAGGTTTAAATTTCAGGCCAAAGAGCTTGGAATTTATTCTATAAGAGATTGTTAACGATTTTAGAGTTTTAGAGCCAGTAAGAGATATCAACATGGAATACGATGGACCTCCACTGTGGCCACCATCATCAATACAGAGCACCAAATAATAATGTATTTGTGTCTCTCCTCTTTTCCCATTAGGTTGTATGTAAGAAATATCGGGGATTTTCTATCCCAGAGGAGTTTCGAGGGGTGCAAAGATACCTGCGAAATGCTTATGCCAGAGAGGAATTTGCCTCTACCTGTCCAGATGCTGAGGAGATAGAGCTGGCCTATGAGCTAGTAGCCAAAGCCCTCCAGTAGCCATGGACAGAGCTTCTTTCCTCCTCTACCCTGCTACTTTCATAAATGGCTTGATAAGGCCAATGAACACATTTCAAGATGGCCACTGAGCACAGAATTTTGAAATAAAGTACAGAAGGGCAGGGAAGGTTGTTGGGGAGCAGGGTGGGGAGGAAAATGAGTGGGATTTTTTTGGAAAGGGATAGGATGAAAATATTTCAATAATAAAACAGTTAAAATACAATGATGTTTTTATACTGGGTGTTAGGAGGCTGGAAGCCTGGGGCTGGTAGGAGAGTACAGATGCATTTGAGGTATTGAGAGGGAGCTGAATGCTGATTCCAGGAGTGTGACTAGGTGTTATTTGTGAGAGCTGGGAAGCAGAACCCTGAAGTTCCAGAAGGGTATTTTGAGGTGAAAGCCAGGAGGGCCAAAAGTTTGGGGTGGGGGGGGGCAATTTCTCCTCTTGTCCCTGCTGTATTTGCAGTCGAATGGTAGGAGCTTGAGGAAACCTGAGATGGGGGACGACTTGTCCCAAATCTTCAAGAATTTGGGGAGTGCTACAAGGGGGAAAAGGAAAAATCCAGGAAGGGAAGGGGTGTGGCTATGGGCTGGAGCGAAGGAAGCCCCAGAGGAGTGGGTGTGGTCTAGAGGGGCGGCAGGGGCGTGGCCTCCCGGAGTCCAGCCCGTACGCGAACAGACAATGCCCCGAAGCCGCCAGTCCGCCGCGCCCCCATCCCTCAGCTCCCCGTGAGCCTGTCCGCTTGTCCAGGGACCCTCACCCCAGTTCTGGGCCCCAGCCCCTCCCAAGGCCTACAGACTCGAATTCCCCTCCCCCCACTCCCTGCACCCGGGGGGAGGGGGCCCCCCAACCCTGGTCGGAGAGGGGAAGGGGCGGGGTGAGGCAGCCAGCGGTGAGTGACCTGACGCTAGCAGAGCAGGGGCTGGGGGTGGGGGGCAAGTGCAGACTGCTTGTGATCTTGAAGAAATAGGTGGTCCTGGGGCGGAGGGCGGACGTCTGGGGTCCTGAGGGGAATGAGCAGTGGAGGAGTCTGGCGCTTGGGACCTTAAAGTAAGCCGGGTGGGGAGGCCGAACGCCTGAATTCCCAGGACTGGGAAGGTAGGATTCTATAGAGAAAATTCGTTGGGGGTCGCGATCAAGGGGAATACTAAATATCATTGTCTAAAACTATGCCCCCTCTTTCTCCTCCCCTTCCAGTTTCACTCCAGACCTCCCAGTCCCGTGGGACTGAGTCTAATTTACTGGGTCCACTAAGGGCTACATGACCGGTCCTCGGGGTAGAAGATTAACTCTATAGTCTCCGATCCCTCCTTTCCTTCCTCTAGTCCTCGCTTCCCTTAAGGATCCAGGCATCCAACTTATCTCCTGCCTTTCCTCTCTTTTTCTCCCTCGTACAGCCCGTACTTCCCCTCAGAGTCCCAAGCATGTGACCGCGGAGTCCCCCATCATCTAGGAATAACGGAGGGTTAAGGGGAGGACCCATCTCATATTTAGGGAGTGAGCGCATCCTAGCGGTGACCAGTCGGGAAGAGGCTAATAAAGAGGAGTAAAAGGGAGGAGAGAGGGGGGTGTTGAGAGTGGTGGTTCGGGGCCGCTGAAGAGATAACAGGTGTTGGTTTGTTGTTGTTATTGTTGTTTTGGGGGGAGGAGTACCAGTTTTCTTCCCAGTGCAGTTTCTGTAGGATCCCAAGTGGAATTAAGATGACAGATGGAAAACCAGGAGGGGGGTGGCTGGAGACCCAGGAATCCTCAAACCCTACCCTTCCTTGTCTGTCTCAACTGCTTGTCTCTCCCTTCCGGCAGGTGAAGTGAAAGAAAAAACAAATTAAGACAGCAAAACAGCAAGGGTGTGTAGCGGGGATGGGGACCCCGGGGGAGGGGCTGGGCCGCTGTTCCCATGCTCTGATCCGGGGGGTCCCAGAAAGTCTGGGCAAAGAGCGGGAAGGAGTGGCAGTTGGTCTCCCACCTCTGGACTTGGCGAAGGCACAGCGAGAGCACGGGGTGCTGGGAGGGAAATTGAGGCAGCGCCTGGGACTTCAGCTGTTGGAATTGCCCCCTGAGGAGCAACTGCCACTTGGACCCCTGCTAGGAGACACAGCTGTGGTGCACGGGGATACAGCCCTCATCACTCGACCTTGGAGTCCTGCCAGGAGGCCCGAAGTGAGTGCAGGAGAGGGAGAGTGGATGGGAAAAGGGGGAAAAAGAAGTTGAGGTCTAGAGCTTCTAGGAGAGCAGGGCTGGGGTAGCAGGACACCAGTATCTTAAAACTGAAGTTCTCTTTCCCTGCTCCCAGGTCGATGGGGTCAGAAGAGCCCTACAGGATCTGGGGCTTCGGATTGTGGAGATTAAAGATGAGAATGCCACACTTGATGGAACAGATGTGCTGTTCACAGGTGGGGCCTGGGGAGATGGGGAGAGGAAGGACAGTATTCTTGGGTGCCCTGGAGAGCACGGTTCTGGGAAGAAGGTTTTCTGGCTGAGGGACTGAAGGGGCTGAAGGGGCTGAGAGACAAGTTTTCTCTTCTGAACTCTTCCTTTCAGGCCGTGAGTTTTTCGTGGGCCTCTCCAAGTGGACCAACCACCGAGGAGCTGAAATTGTTGCCGACACATTCAGGGTGAGGGGAACTGGCTAGTCCCTAAGCAAAGGCCTCAGGGGGTTGTGGGCCAAGGGCCCCTAGAGTGGAGAGCTGGGAGTGGTGGGTGATTCCTGGAGTGGAAGGACTGAGAATCTCGAGAAGAGGTGGAGTCTGGAGGAGCAGTGTGCAAGACCTAGAGAACCAGGTGCTGCTCCCTAGGATTACGGGGAGGACTCCGTTTATTGTCCTGACTTTCCAATACATATTTTCACCCGTATCTGTCTCCCCAGGACTTTGCAGTCTCCACAGTGCCTGTCTCAGGCCCCTCCCATTTGCGGGGGCTTTGCGGGATGGGGGGCCCCCGCACTGTTGTCGCTGGCAGCAGCGAAGCGGCCCAGAAAGCCGTGAGGGTGAGGAGGAGGAACAGGGTGTAACAGGTGGGCGGGATTTGAGCGTTAGGGGGAGGAGCCTATTGGATGAGTGAAGGACCTTAGTTACCGGGATGGGCGTGTGTGGAGGGGAGGAATATGAAATTGCTGAAAATACTGAGTTTAGCTTAACCCCGACCATCTGTTCCTTGGGCGTTGCAGGGGCCGGAAAGCCTGGTAATTTGGGGACCGGCTTCGAAATGTTTTCTTTTTCCTTTTGGCTCTTAGGCCATGGCAGCGCTGACCGATCACCCCTATGCCTCCCTGACTCTCCCAGATGATGCCGCGGCAGACTGCTTGTTTCTGCGGCCCGGGCTCCCTGGGACTTCCCCCTTTCTTGCTGCACCGCGGGGGTGGAGACTTGCCCAATAGCCAGGAGGTGAGAAGGTGGCATTCTTTCAGAAGCCCGAAAGGAAGGGAGCATTTCTTAGGGGCGAGGAAGGGGGTAAGCAGGAATAAGGCACAAAGCCTCGAAGTAGAGGAGCGGGATTTCTGGAATTACTGGGCAGTGCAGGGCGGGGGTTTTGGGCTTGAGGTGGGGGAGAAAAGTGGGTGGGGCTTATCATTAACCCCACCTCTTTCCCCTAGGTGCTGCAGAAACTGCCTGACGTGACTCTCGTACCTGTGTCCTGCTCTGAGCTAGAGAAGGCTGGGGCTGGGCTCAGCTCCCTTTGCCTCGTTCTCAGCACCCGCCCCCACAGCTAAGAGATCCCCAAATGTGGGAGCAGGAAAGTGGGAAGAATAGAAAGAGAAGTATTAGCTTACCCATAGTATGATGTGTAGAAGAAGCTAGGTATGGGGTAGGAATCACGGTTTGGGGTAGGACAGAGTGGGAAGGAGCAGCAGATCATCTCCTCGGGGAATAAAATGAAACTAACCTTTTAGGCTTCACTGTGTGTTAGTGTCTGATTAGGGGAGATGGGGTGGTGCGGCACAATGTGTGGGGAGGGGCTGGAGTGGCCCTGGGAGGGCCTATAATTTTGGGAAAGGGTGTTTAGAATTCTGGTCTGTCTTCGAGAGCTATAGGGAGCAGGGCACGTCCAAGGCATTAGCTGGGTTCAAGATTAGCTTCTGATGACTTTGAGGGTGAAAAAGTGGCAGGTGAGAGGGAGAGTACCACATTTTGTGTGTTGGGATGAGGCCTTCTCAAACTACTACCGCATAGATGGTGGTGGCATCCTTGGGGACAGTAGTGCGCAACCATCTTGGGTTTCTGAGGGGAATGTGGTCCAGATCAGCGTAGAGGAGGCTCTGCAAAAAATGGGAAAAGAAGACAGGGTGCAGAACAGGGATCCACCATCTAGTCCGGAACTACTCTCCCCTTGGGGACCCAGTCGATGGGCACCTTTTCATGCACAATCCCTGAGCTCACGCCTTCCTCCAGTCCTTACCCTTTCTGCATCCGAGTCCCCTCTTTCCCGGGGCTCCTCGTTCGATCGACTCTGGATCTCGGTGTTCACAGGTGGAGTTTTTGTGGGAGGTGATGGGGGCAGAGCTGAGGGATGGGAAGAGGGGATATGCCCAGTCATAGAATGGAGGTGGGGAAAGGAGCTATTCTCACCGCATTCTGGGACGGTTGTGGTTCTGACTAGCCCGAAAGGGGGTAGCCTAGAAAGGGATGGGGAAGGGAAATTAGGGACTCTGACCAACCTTTTGTTCTCTTATCTTTGGCCAACCCATTGCCTAGTCATGGGTTTCTAGCTCAAAATCACAAAATGCAGGCTCCTGCTACCCAACCCATAGTCTTTTCCGTGCCTAGCACACAGTAGGCACTTAATAAGTGTCTATTGATTGGTTGGTCAGAGCTCACCCCTCGACCTTTCCCCCTCATCCCCAGCCAAGCTTTAACCTTTGGCACACAGCTCCAACGCTCTCAAATTTTGACCCCTCCCCTTTTCTCCACGCCTGCACTCCGGCCTCCTTAGAAATCAGTTCCACTCTCACGCTGGGATAACTCCACTCCTCAGTTTTTGAGCTCTTCACCTTAGGTCCTACCCCTTCCCCTTCTTTGCGTCCCCCACCCTCTAGTTCTTGGCACTTACTGACGAAGTCTCCAAGCGATTCCCAGCCCCGCCAGCCCTAAAGCCAACCCGACGCCCAGCAGAGGGTACAGGAACACAGGATACGAAGATCCTAAAGTGGGGAGCAGAATCGAAAGGGGGCGTTTAGAGTTCTCCTTTCCAAGGAACCCTTCCTTAATTCCCAACCAATACACATTAGTACTACTTCCATCTCCATCCATTCATTCTACCAATTATTATGCGCCTGACCCTGAGCCACGCACGGGGGATACAAAATCAAAATAGTTTTTCCCCCATTGGGGAGGATCAGATCGTTCTCCAAACAAACTGTAGTATGGTCACCCTTTCCCTAACTCACCGGAGGTGGGGCTGGGGGCTCGGCAAGCAGCCAAGTCCCCAAGCACTTTGAGCGAGGTACGGCTCTCACTGTCCCGGCGGCCTCCAATTCCGGTACAGAAGAAGGTCCCGGAGTCTCCTCGAGCCAGGAGCAGCTCCAGATGCTGGATGCCATTGGGGTCCACCGCACGCAGGCGGCCAGTGAAGGGCGAGGTGGAGGCTGGGGTGGGATTTCCTGGGGCAGAGGCCCAGAAGACTGGGCGGCGCCCCCGAAGCAAGCCCACACAGGCAGGGAAGCTAGGAGCCCAAGCCCATCGGGTCGCGTGGGAGACCCCAGTGCAAGAGATATTCACCCGATCTCCTGGGCGTCCCTCCAAAAAAACTGCGGAGAGTTTGGGTGAGGGTGGGATTCTGAGTCCCACCTTCTACCCCCAGCCTTTCTCCCGAAACCTCACTTTCCTTGAGGACCCAGACATTCCTTCCTCTCCCCTCCCCCATTCTTGGATTGTTCCTAGGATTCAGGGGGTGACCCTACTCCCCCTAGTCCTTGTTTCTCCTCCCCGATTCCCACCTTTCTTACCCCACCCCCGCTCACCCCCCAAGTTCCCTCCAGTCCCTGAGAGCAGCAGCAAAAGTTGCAGGGCTGGGACCATGGTCAGGCATCTAGTGGGGACAGAAATGGGGAAGGCTGAGTCAGCAAGAGAGACCGGAGGGAAGTTGGCTAGAGAGAGGGAGCAGATGCTGGGTTGGGGGGCACAGATAAGGAGACAAGGCGGGGATTGAGTTGCCTGGACACCAAATCCCAAAGGGAGTTTTTGGTGGCCTAACATTCTTATTCATCTCTCAGGCTTAGCCCTCACTGCTGCCTTTCCAACCCTCCCTCTAGACCCTAGGCCTAGAGCTTCCCACATGGGGACTATTAGGGCAGATATCCACACAAGGACTGGAGAGGACCACCAGGAGCTGGGGGACCCTGCCACTCCTCTCCTAAAGTGAGGGGGAGCTGGGGCTGGGTTGTATTCACTCCTCCACCTGTTAGCCGCACCCAGTTGGGTGTTGTTCCAAAGCTTATACTGCCCCAGGAACTATGACATCACAATGGGTTTTGGTGATGTCACAATCCCCTCTCTATTTCTCTTGGGAAGGTAAAAGGATTTTTTTTGGGGGGGCAGGCTATACTGAACTACAGATGGCTTTTGTCTACTAAAGGGACCCAAAAATCTTTTTTTGGGGGGGAGAGGGGCTTCCTCAGCCTTCAGCTTTCCTTTCTCCACCCTATACTCTCTGTCCCCAATCAGATGAAACTGAGAAAGGAGGTGCTGCCTTGGGTCAGAAGGGGAGGGGCCTTTGTAACTATAAATCCCAAATATTTCCCTCCCTTCTAAGAGTTGGATCCTTGGAATCTTTATCAGCTTCTTCTGTCATCTCCAACAACCAAACCATGAATACCTTTTTGCTCCTCAGCCTCTCAGCATTGGTCTGCTGGGCTTCAGGTGAGCTCTATGGGGAACCCAGGTGTTCAGTTGGCTTCTGCCCTCAATCCCTAGATCCTGCTTAGGGATCTAGGTGTTGAGCTTCTCAGGCCCTTGATTTCCATTCTCCTTCCCCAGCACTCTTCTCAGGGTTCAAGGGATCCAAGCCCCCAAAAGCCCTTTGCTCTCTTGGCCAATCTCCAACACACATTCCCCTTGGAGCCTTAGATATCTTTTATTTTAGTTTCCTGGTGCTCTCAAGCCTCTTCCTCCCCCAGTTCTCATTCCTCAAGGACTAAGCTCTTTAGTTCTTTGCACCTTCTTTGTGCTTGTTCTCAAGTACTTAGCATTCTATCTCTTTTCTGCTCTCCTTCCTCCCCCTTTTCCTGAACCAGCACCCACTTTTATGAGGGGTCAAGAAGTATAGTTTGCCTAGTCCTTGTTCTTTCTTGTAGCCCCTGCTCCCCTTAGGAGCCCACTCCTGCACCTTTTCCAAAGCCTAAGGTTTGGGCTTGGGGCAACTCCATCTCCACACTGGAGCTAAAGGGACCTTTGAGGTGACTCTTAGCTTCTGAGTCACCTCCAGAAGAGTCCCTAGGACCTATTTGGGAGACATCACTATAGTTGCTGTGGAGGTGATACCTGAGTCAAATCATTCTGGGGGCGGGGTATTTTGTTTGGGTGGGAGAGTGAATAGGCTTCCATTTAGGTCAGCCTCTCCAAGGATTAGACTCCCAAGTACCCATTGTCTATTAGGTCATTTGCCATCACAAGCCTTGAATTAGCTGAGGATGAGAGCTTGGGCAGAGATTTCTGAATTCACTCTCTTTCATTTCTGGAATGTTCTGTGGGATTGTTTAGGGTGAGTCTTCCTCTCCAACCCATGTCTCTTCTTTAGATTGTAAGGTAGGAGTTCAGGATAAGGAATTGGAAGCTAGCTGTTCTCCTTTTTGCTCTAGGCTACTCCAGGACATAGTTCCCAGAGAACAATCATCCCCCAGACCCAATTTCTGTGTCCTTTTTGTGACTTTTATTTTCCATAATGATCTTTCCTTATTCTTTCTGGTTTTCCTTTCTGGTATCCCACATTTTAGTTCTTCCCTATCTCCACTCTCCTTACTCTAATTTCCATCCTTCTACTTTCTTCTCATATTGACTCTTGTCCAATTCCATCCTCCCCTATCTTCTCCTATGATCTCTTCCCATATTGTTCTCCCACCCCCTTTAGTTTTCCAGGTTTTTTCTTCCAGTCCCATTCTCTCTGATGGAAACTCTTCACTCTGTTTCTCCCTCCCTCTGTTTTCTTTGGCAGTACTGCCTCTTTTGTGACTCAGCCAATGGGCAGGCGTAGAGAGGGAACTGATGTTAACAAGGATGAGATGTAGATCTTTTCAAAACCAACAGCCCCACCCCACACCTGTGGAGAATACTTTCCAAATATCTTTATCTTCTTCACTGGAGCCAGCAGGATGAGGAATTTACCGTGGAGTTCCCCAGGTGATTTGCCTCCCCTTAGCTTCCCATTCCCCTCAGGAATGAGTTTGGGTTTCCAACCAGAGCCTATCATATTCTCTGTCTTCCCAGCTGACATTCGCTGTCACTCCTGCAACACATTCCCTGTGGGTTGGCTGTGTGGATCGAAAATCCTGTCTCCTGGAACAAGGACATCAGTGTTTGACCACAGATGTCTACTTAGGTAAAAAGGACCCACTTTAGGCGGGGGGGGGGCGGGGGAGCGAGGGCAGAAGGGAATAGAAGTAGAACTGAATGGGAAAAGAGAAGGGAAAAGACTGAGACTGGTGCTGATATCAGACTTGGGTAGGCAACAGAAAGAGAATAAAATAGGACCAAGAAGGAAAGAGCAGAAGGGAGAGGAGAGGAAAAAGCAGAGAGATGGAGAGTAAAACGCACAACCTGGAGACTGAGTTACAGAGGGTGAGGAAGGTGGGGGCAGTATGAGGGTCTCTTCTGGCTGATCCTCTGTGTCCTTCTCCCCCCAGGTAAGATGTGGCTTTACTCCAAACTCCGGTGTGGTTCAGCTAAGGAACCCTGCATAGAGGGCATCAACAAAACCAATGAGTTAACCTACAATACCACTTGCTGCAGAAGAGACTCCTGCAATAGCTTTGCACCTCGCCCTTCTCCAGTCCTGAGCCTCAGCCTCCTCACCCCTTTTGCTGGCCTTGGCTTCTGGCTTCTACACTGAAACTCAACAGTTTGTTCAGCCCCAGATCCCACCCTTACATCTTCCCACTTCATTCTGTCCTTAGCCCCTTAATCTCCCTGTGCCCTCTAGAATGTCTCCCTGTATTCTGGTGTTGTGGAAAGAGCACTGAATTTGGAGTTAGAAATCCAGCTCTCTACTGCTTACTATCTGTGAAACCTTGGACCTTGGACTCTCAGGGTCTCAGTTTCCTCTGTAAAAGTGAGAAGGCAGGACTAGGTAATTTCTAAGGTCTTTCCCATTTTTAAATGCTATGGTTCATGTAGTTCCATTTAATGACCTTTCTCTGGACTTCTTTTCCCCACTCATTTCAGTTTTCTCCCAGTCATTTCCCATGGTCAGGGAACTGTCGAATGTTAGAGCTGTAATGGGATCATCATGAATTTCAGTCCGTTGTTTTTTTTTTCAACTACGCTAGTATCTTCTTGACCTTCCCTTCTTTCCCAGAATTGTCTCTCTCCGATTCCTTCACCTCCCCTCCCGGTTATCCCCCACCTCCATTCATCTACCCAGGTCTCTTCCCCACCAAGGTTTCTCCAGCAGGGAGACTGAAGTCTGGGCCTGAAGTGGGAGTTCTTATACAGTCGTCAATATAGATTCCAGGTGGGATGTGATGGTCCTTCTCTGTAGGGTCTGATTCCCTGAACCCTGGCAACAGGTACCACTCCCTTAACCTCACTCATGCCTAGCCCCATTGGAATAAATGTCTGTTTTCCAAAGAATCCTGTGCTTTATTGTCCACAGATTCAAGTGTCCCCTCCCCTAAGCTTTGGCATTGCCCCCATCCTGATACCTAAGACTCATGATCTCTTGGGGCACCCAAGTTGTTTATCCCTGAAGCTCCCTCAGGGAATTTCTCTGTTTGGGGTGGAGAAGGGAGGATCTGGATCAACAAGTTTTTCTGGCCTCTTCTGTTCCTACCTCTGCCTGGAGAATTGGCAGAGGACCTAATGTTTGGGGGAACATGTTGTACGGACCACACCCCTTGAGGACTTTTCATCCAGAGCTGCAGGTAGTCTTGAGACTTCAGCTGGGTGAGAAGGATTAGACTGAGGTAGGAGCAATTCCCTGCCAAGGATTCTAGTAGCTATGGTTTTCCTTAACTCTGAGATTTTTGGCTGTTTTTTAGGGGAAAGTCTCAGGCCTGGGAAACAACCCTTAAATAGCTGCCCCAACTGTCTCCTGTCTCCTCTGAGTTCCAAACAACCCTGTCTTATTTGCTAAGGTGTATATAGGGTGGGGGGAAAGGGGGAAGGCCGGGTAGGACAACACACAGACAGATAGCTCTAGGGAGGCCTGGTCACCCTCACTGAGTACTCAAGACACTCTTCCATCACCTACATACCTCGTTTCAGGGTTTTGGAAGGTTTTCCCCAACAACAGCATCTAGCAGGCACTCCAAGTACTCTCATCATCTCTTGGGGTCCCTGGCTGCTGAGATTTGATCACTTCCTGAGGCCCCCAAGCCCTATTTCCATTTTCCTCCCTTGCATTCCCTCGCCCCAATCCCATCACAACATGTGAATTTTCTGCTCAGCTGTAAATCAGTCAGTAGAGTTTAATAGACATTGGAGGAGGGTATCACAGCCCTACTCACTCCCTGTGCCTATATAGCAATGCCATTACCCTCCCCACAGTCCTGGAAGGATCCAAGCCAGTGTGGTGGCCACCAGAGTAGCCAAGGCAATGCTAGGAATCATAGTAGTCGCAGCACCATTGCAGAGGTCACCATGGCAACAGCTACTGTGAGTGGTATAGGACACACCACCCACCAACTCTGTTTCCTGCTGTTCACAGCGATGGGCAACCACACAGGTAGGGCGGTGGTGGATCAGGGTGACTGTGGCTGTAGGAGAGAACAAGTACTGTTTGGAGTTGGGAATTTTACTTTGAGAAGAAAGAAGATATGGAGAAAAACTGGCTTTTAAATAAATGGCTACAGAGTGATTTACAGGTGGAATGGATAGTTGCCTACTTGGGGTGATTTCAAAGATAGCATGAAGGTCCCATTGTAGCTTACCCTTAAAATGTCTACCTTACTTTTTATTTTATGCCTAAAATTTCTACATTAGACTATTAAATCATTTAGCTTAAGAATTTGCTTCTTTTAAAATTTGACCATTCTCCCTCTATGCTCCCTTCCTCCCTCCCTCCCATCTCTTGGGAAGAATTGGATTCTAACAGAAGTCTAAATAAATGTATCATATCCTTTCCTTTTTGAAGGGAAGGAGAAGGGAATGAGGACTTGGAGAAGGAGCATGTATATGCTTAGATCTTTAAGGGAGGATGAATGATCAGGAGTTGGGTTCCTTCTCCAGAGGAGTGAAAAGAGGAAATAGATTGCCAGACTCACGGTTCCCTGGAAACTTGACCTGCTCTTCTTGATTGAGTCTCTGCTCCAGGAATCCACAGCGCTCGCCCTCCTCACATGTTCTTACAATCTCAGTGCAGGGACCATCTGGATTACAATCATAACATCGTATTCGATTGCCTGATCCGAAGACAGTGAAAAGATCAGCTGGGAGACCAGATACCTGGGTCCCCAGGAGAACAGGAGGATGGGGAGACAGGAAGACATAGAGTACGGGGCTAGCAGAACCAGATGCTTGGGTCTCCCCCCTCACCTAGGGTTTTCCCCAGCAGGGTACACAGCAGGATCCAGAGGATTTCAGAGCTCATGATGTTACTTTTCCTCTAGTCTCTCTCTTCCTCCCTCCCACCCCCCACACCAAAGCAGCTGGCTTATATCCCCCTAGTGCTGGGCTTTACAGGGCAATAAAAAAAGGAGGCAGAGTCATGCCTCACCTCACCAAACCAGGGGGCCCCAGGTGGGACTTGGGTGTGGCCTCTAAACACTGACAGAGATCCTAGCATCTTCTAAAGCCCCTATGACCACGCCCCCCAAATCCTTTCCAGACAGTCTTTTGTCTCTCAAAGGTCTTAATTCTCCCCCACTCACATAATTTTTCTGTCAGAAAACCATGTCCCTTCCCTAGTTCTTTGTTTTTTAGATAAAGCATATTTATTAAATGCTCACTATGTGCCAGGCACTGTAAATGATGCCCTCCCTCACTCTTGAAGACCAATAGCACCTCCCCACTCAATCCCAATAGAGCTTTAAGTAGAGATCTGTGTCCCTTGACCAGATCTCTTAGAACTTCCATATCCTGTATCCCTCTTCTGATTCTCTCCACAAACTCCATCTTTCCCAAACAAACAGAACAAAACAATGATTTAACTCTTTCTTTCATAGTAGTAAAACTAGGAGGGATAAATTATAGGTTTGGAACATGGAAGCTGTAATGAATCAAAGGGAACTGAGGCTGGGTGGGGTCATTCCCCTACCCCACCCCTCGTACCCTGATGGCCTTCCCAAAGGTTCCTACATTCTTCACACATATCTTTAGGTTATGGCAACTTGGGTAACTTTTCAATTCAGTGTGGGGAAAAGAGTGTAAGGGAAACTGAGGAGGATAGATCCTCCCCAGCCCCCTGTGCCTCATGACCTGACATAAAGATAAATTGGAGTGACCATGGAGATGGAACATTAAATAACCAACAAACTATGTTACCTGGGAAAGCAATTCATCTCAAGGAACGTTTTTCTTGAGAAAGGTGTATAATTGTCCAAGGAATTGATCACTCCTTGGAGACTTACACAACAAACAGGTATTTGGGGCTCTGATCAAGCCCCAACCTTTGTTAAGATGTATGCATACCTGGACCTGAGCGCTCACCAAGGATTGTTTCGTGCACAAAACAAAATATTAAGATTTGTCTTTCCCTGGTTTACATAGATATAAAAGGGGTCATTTGGAAAGGGATTTTTGGAGTACTTTGATGCCAGGGATAGGGACGCCGAATCTCTGTTGGTCAGAAGCAGAACTTATGCACGGCTTCTCTTGAGTTGGAGTGGGACACTGCCCCATTGCCTCCTGACCAAGACCTCTTGGCTGTTCTTCCATCTCCCTGGTCTATTAGGTATTTGAGATCACCTGGTCAGTGAGTGTGTATCCTTTCTTTTCTTATTCCCCCTTTTCTTTGATTATTACTTATTATATTGAATGTTATTCTTATCTTTATGTGTGTGTTTTGCCTTAATCATTATTAATATTGTAAAATAAATGTAATTATTTGTTAAGTTTATACTGAGTATGTGTCATTATATCTTGAGATCTGAACCTAAATTGAAACTGCACAGTAAGTAATCTTTTCGATTACACAGAGGTACCAATACATTAAGAGAGGGAGAGAGAAAGAGTAAAGAAGACATAGAAGATGGTGCAAAGGTAAAAGGAATAAAATGAGAAAGGGAAAAAAACCAGATAGGATAAAGAGAAGATATGAGTAAGGAAAGATAAGATGAGAAGAGAAATAAAAGAGAGGGAGGAAAGGAAAGAGAAAATTAAGAGATCAGAAAGGGAAGAGCAAGGAGAAGAAAGAGGGAGGGGGAAAGTAAAGGAAGGATAAGGAAAAGAAAGAGGAAGAAGAAAAGGAGAGGAAAAGATAAGAGAAATGAGTGAGGAAAAAGGAGAGAGAAGAAAGAAAAAAAGGAGAGAAAAAGGAAAATGAGAGATGAGATAAGAAAAAAGAAAAGGGTAGGAAGAGATGAGAAAAAAGGGTGAAGGAAGAAAATGATAGGAAAGAAAGGAAAAAATTAAAGAAGCAAGACGGGAAAGAAAGAAATGTGAAAGAGAAAAAAGTAATGAGAAAGTAGAGGAAAGAAGAAAGAGGGAGAGAAGAGAATGAGAAAGAGACAGGGAAAGAAAATGGAGGTGAAAATGACAGATTTAAACTGTTGACAGAAAAGTACTTAGAGAGCTATGAGATGGACAGAAAAGAGAATAGAGAGCACCATCATTGGAGTGAAAGACTAGAGGAAAGAGGAATATGGAAGGTAATAGGTATAGAGGGAGGGGAAAGGGCTTGTCCAGGTTAAGGAAACACAGATGTGGGAAACACTAGGCTCTTTCTTTCTCAAATTCCCTGACAAGGCTAGTCTGTCTGCCTCTCCCAATGCAACCCAGTGACTTCCCAAGATTTGAGGATCCCAGAGCACACGACATATGAATATTAGACTCATGGATTTCTTATTCTGATCTCTGCATTTCCCTCCGTTCTTTTCCAATTTCCTATATCCAATTTCCTCTTCTTTTTGTGCTAGCTGCCAAATCTTGTATGGTCCTGATTGTGGCTTCTCACTTACTTGAAATCTTTCAGAATAATTGCAAATTTTTTCTTTGATCTCAAAGCTTTGGGTTTTGGCTGTGATGTTCATTGCAATTTTCATTTTAGAGTTTCTTTCAGGAGGTGAATGGTAGATTCTTGTATTTGCACTTTGCCTTGGAGTTGCATTCATGATTTCTTGGAGTATGGTACCCCGGCTTTTTTTTTTTTTTGCATGGGTGGTGGTGAATTGTGGCTTTCAAGATAGTTCAATGTTTTATGGATTTTTCTCCAAACTCTTCTGGATCACTGGATCAGTTGGTTTTGATTTGTGGTACCCTATTTTTTCTTCAATTTTCTTTGGTCTTTGGACATTGTTCTAATATTTCTTGTCTTCTCATGGGGTTATTAATTTTTTTGTGTATTATTCTAATTTTGTAGGGATTCTGTTACTAAGCTGTTAATCTCCTTCCAAGTCTATCCTCTTGTTTCTTATCTTTTTTAAAATTAAATTTATTTCAATAAGTTATTCTTACTTCTTTTTCTAAAACCTTATTTCATTTTAAAATTCATTCCATTTCTTCTAGTAATTCTAGTTGACCTCATGGACAAGCTGCCTGGGTTTTTTTTTTTTTGAGGTTTTACATGTAGATGTTCTGGAATTATTCTCTCCCTCTGGGTTTTTACCTTGGACGTTCCTGGCTCCGCAGCAGTTCTTTATTATAGGTTTCTTTCTTTTTTTTTAATAAATAAAATAAAACTATAAAAAATTTTTCATTAAAAAAAGACCTCATTCTTCTAGCCTTACTTTTTACATTGGAACTTTGTGCTAGGGCCAGGCTCTCCCCACTTTTGGAGGGAATGTTGGGATCTTGTTTGGTCCTATTCTGTATTCTTTGGGGTCCTATTGCTCTTTTTTCCCCATATATTGAATGCTATGTTCTTCAAGGATCTTAGGAGCAGCTCAAGGCAAGAATCTAAAAAGTTTTGCATAGATCTTCCTGGCTAGATTCCTTCCCCAGTGTCTGCCAGACCTCTCTCTATCTCCTTATGCTGTCCTGGGCTGGAAAAATGACTCATGGTGGTTTCTCCTTGGGATCACTGCTGGGTACAATGCTCTTTCTTCATCTTTGTTGAAATAGTAGGAGAGAGCTGAACAATACTACTTCCACATACTCTACTATCCTCTCCCCTCTCCAACTTCCTCTACCGTTGGAGCAATGAAACCCTTGATCCTCTCTGGAATTATGGGTGAAAGCAGCTTTGGGAAAGGGGAAAGGGATATAAGGACTTAGGTCAGGGGTGGGGAACCTGTGGCTTTAAGGCCCCATGTGTCCTTCTAAGTCCTTAGGTGCAGCCTTTTGATTGAGTCCATGTTTTACAGAACAAATCCTTTTATTAAGGGGATTTGTTCTGCGAAGTTTGGATTCAGTCAAAGGGCTGCACTTGAGAGCCTAGAGGGCCACAGATTTCCCACCTCTGTAGCATTCAAGTAAGAAAGAAGTAGGTAAGGGGCAGCTAGGTGGTGAGGTGGATAGAGCACTGGCCCTGGAGTCAGGAGGACCTGAGTTCAAATTTGATCTCAGACACTTGACATTTATTAGCTGTGTGACCCTGGGCAAGTCACTTAACCCCACTGCCTAGACAAAAAAAAGAAAAAGAAAGAAGTAAGTGACTCAGATGTGGGAACCAGGAGATGACTGTGTCTGTGCATACACTCATACTTGTGTTGGGAAGGAAGGTGAGAGAACTGGGAGCTGGAGGGAAAACAGGGGAAAACCTCACAGGGTTATTTTTTTTTAAAGGATCAAATGAGGTAATATATGCGCAGTGCTTTGCAAACCTTAAAGTGCTATATAAAAGCTGTTGTGGATAAAATTGTCTTGGCTCAATTGTCTTTCTTTTTAAAAATTTTTTGCTAGGCAATGGGGTTAGTGACTTGCCCAGGGCCACAGAGCTAGAAAGTGTCAATTGTTGGTCTGAGACCAGATTTGAACTCGGGTTCCCCTGACTCCAGGGCCAGTGCTCTATCCACTTCACCACCTAGTTGCCCCTGCTCAGTTATCTTTCTCCCTCCACTTTTTATGTCTGTCTCCTTATTTCTCTATATCTCCAAGTTTTTGTCTCCCCTTCTATCTCTGTATCCATTATTTCTGATATCTTCTTCCTTTTCCTTCCCCCCTCCTTAATATCTCTTCCCCTCTCTTTCCTTTTTCCCTTCTCTCAATTGCTCTTTCTCCCCTCAAATTCCCCATCTGTAAAATGAGAGCTTAAATTAGATGACCTCTAAGGTCCTTCCTTCATTAAATCCTTTGATCCTTTCATCAGTCTCCGTTGTACACCTTCTGTCTCTGTTTCTCTCCCCTCGATGTCTGTCTCTTCCTTTCCATGTCTTTGTTGTACTGTCTCTCCCACCCCCATTCCCTTTGACTGTCCTGTGTTGTTTGAGACCTGCTCTCCCAACTAGGCTCTCTGCCCCAACTGCCCAATGGCTCCACTGTTACACTTGAAGCCTTGCTCAGGTTTTGTGGGAGAAGTCCTCATGGGCAACCAAACTTACCCAGCCCTACCCCCTGGGTCCCCCTCTGCCCTCACTCCACCCCTTCATTCAGTCTCCCTCTTTCATCTTCTAGTTTTGATCCACACTCCCTTTCTGTTTCCAGAGATGGAGGTCTTGGGCTGCTTTCCCTGGCTACACACTACATATTAGGATGGGAGCTTTTATAACTCATTGCCCCAGAGCTGCATGCTCGGCTGATGCTTCCAAGGACCAGAGCCGGGCTGAGCCAAGGCTAGCTGCAGTCTCCCTGGTCTGAGCTTCACTGACCCTAACCCAGCAGGCAGCAACAGACCTCCTCTAGTGGACCTTGTGATCCCCCTAATCTTAAGGCACTGCCTGAGATCCTTTTCATACCCTGAGGAAGCTTGCAGAAAGGTAAATGATTTCTGAGCCTTGAGCAGCTAGCAGAACTCTCAGTAGCAGGAGATGGGTTTCTTGAGGGGAGCAAAAATGAGATTGAGAATATATCGAGTCCAGCCTCAGACACTTGAAACTTACTAGCTGTGTGACCCTGGGCAAGTCACTTAACCCCAATTGCCTCACAAAACAAAAAAGGAGAATATATTGAGGAAGGAGGGGTATCACAGTCCAATTCCCTTCCCTTTTCCAGTTCCAAAGATTTTGACTTAAAAGGACCTTCCTCCTCCTTCCCCCCATTCCCCTAGTAGTTTTCTGTAGGATCAGGTAACTTGGAGATTGGGGACAGGGAGGGTGGGGCGGGAGGGAGAAGGGAATGTATGTGGAGGGGAGGAAGGGTGATGAAGGCCAGAGAGACTCTAAGCCTCAGGTTCCCAAGCTGTGGTATGTATACCCCCAGGGCAGTAGGAGAAGCTTGTCAAAGAGTATAGGGAATATTGGTAGGTAACTGTATCATATAATTGAAATTGATCTACTTTATTTCTCTTGTTATACTTGCATGGTAAACTCCAGAATTTATTTCTAGAATTTTACATAGAATAAGTAGTATGTGAAGGTTTACTGAAAGCCAAGGGGGACAGGGACCTAAAAAAGTTGAGAACCCCTGCTCTAGGCTGTGGACCCAATAGGTGGAGCCAAGATCCAGTCATGGAGTATCTTCCTCCTCTCCTCCAAGATAACTTTTCCAAAAGGCAAGATCATGAGATAGATGGAGTATCACTTTCTGGACGTTTCTTCTTTTCTAGAGGTCCTCAGGGGATAGAGAAGGTGGGTGTCAGACTTTCCTCATCCTACCCCAAACCCCCAGTCCGAATTTCTCTGTTGCAGAAGGAGGGAAAAAAGAGATATGAGGGAGTTGTGTGTGAAAAGAGAGCCAACAGGGTGGAGATAACGGCTTAGGAGCCTGGGTTAATCTAGATGCTGGCACCAACCCTTAAAGTTCTAGGGGAAAAGGGATAAAATATTCCCTTCAGCCTGGATGTCCAAGAGAATAACCACAGGGGCAGCTAGGTGGTGAAGTGGATAGAGCACTGGCCCTGAATTCAGGATGACCTGAGTTTAAATCCAGCCTCACATACATAACCCTAACTAGTTGTGTGACCCTGGGCAAGTCACTTAACCCCATTGCCTAGCCAAAAAAAAAAGAGTGCAGTCCCTTGGGCCCACCATACCTCCAGGAAGGTCACTCTTAGGGGACATGGGGGCAAGAAGGGCAAGGACATATATAGGGAACTAAGGGATTCATGGGCAGTGGAGAGGGTGTGGCTAATAACAGTTCTGGAAACTGGTTTGGACATTTCTCTCTGGAAAAATAAGGTGAAGACTGTGTGTAGTATGTGTATGTCTGTCTGTCTGTATGTATGTGTGTATGCATGCATGTGTATGTCCTAGTGGGATTCTGCTCCCTGAAGCTCTCTGCGGCCTGAATTCATTCACCCTTCCAGTAAAATGACAATTCTCTCCAGCTGTGTAATGCCAGGAGATTAGCAGGTACCTGATCCTTTTGACTTCTTTCATGACTCACTTTTAGGAGGATGAGACAACAGGAGACATGTCCAGCTCTAAGTTTTTCTTTTCAATTTGCCCATTAGTTTCCCTCTCTCGCTGCCCTTCAGTCCTCTTTTTCCTCAGTCTTTTCCTCTGTGGGCCCCCCTCCTTCCCTTGGTCTTGTTCTTCTTTTTGTTCTTAGCCTCCCTTCTCTCTGTCTTTAATGTCACCTCCTTACTTCTGCACCCACCCGCACCCAGCTGACCACAGCATTCCCCAATGTTGAAACTGGCTTGGGTGCACACTAGGAGATAGGTGACAACATAATTTCATTTGTGAAACATCCTTTCCCCTCTCTTCCCTCCCCGCAACAGTTCTCCCCAGAGGAGACAAGAGAAACAGAGGTAGTACTGTCTCCCAAGCCCCCATGTTTTTGATGAGGTAACAGGAGCTTTGTTTCATCCTGGGTTTCCAAGGAGACCTGCAGATCCCTTCTCCTTGCAGATGACATCATCAAGATCACATGGTCCTAGGGGCAGGTGGGCTGAGAGATAGTGGAAGGAGAGGGTGGGTAAGAAAATAGAGAAACAGACCACTAACATATTTCCCATCTCTTCAAATACCCAAGTTTTTTGTTTCTCTCTTACTGCACTATATTAGGGACTCAGGCACCTGGCCTTCTAGTTCCTTCCTCACCTGGGGATGGTCAAGTGGATATTTTCATAAACCTCAGTTTCTGGCTTGAAATGAGAAGTGGAGTTATCTGTGGAGGAGTATAAAGAAGTGGCAGAAGGATTACACAAACGCACAAACACACAAACAGCCAGCACTGTACTCCTGTTCACTTCTTACTGATCAGTTTCTCCTACCATCAGAAATCATGGGGAGTTTAGAGGGTGAGGAATGGAGAAGTCTGGGTTCCAGAGCCTTTTCTATAGCTCTGCCCAAATGTCTTTTCCCCTTCTTCCTCTCTCGTGTTGTATATGTGTGAGTGTGTGTGTGTGTGTGTGTGTGTGTGTGTGTGTGTGTGTGTGTTGGAGAAGGTAGACAAACCTCTGTAATGGGCCCCATGGTTCCGGCGTCTCCACAGAACTATTCCCAGGGCCAGGATGGTGACCCCCTGTCCCACAATACAAAGCAGCAACAGGATCTTTTGGATATCCCAGGTTGGTGAGATCACACAGTGAGCAGGAAGGGCATTTGGGGAGGCCGCAGCTAAAAGGAGAATAATAATAATTTTATTTAGATCCTCAAGGTTTACAAAATGCTTTATGTAATTGTCTCATTTGAGCTTTACAGCAACTTTGTGATATAGGTGCTACTACTATCCCCATTTTATAGATGGAGAAACTGAGGCTGAAAGGGGTTAAGTAACTTACTCAGGATCACATTGTTAATAAGTGGTTGAGGGGAGATGAGAAATGACTCAGGATGAGGATGAGAGGTTGGGGTGTGTGTGGGAAAGCCAATGGAAAAGCCCTCATCCTCATTCCAAATTACATTCCCTATAAAAACAGATGATTTCAGGTAGGGAATAGCTAGCTCTCCTACTAGTACAGATTTACAGAATTCTTGTACTGGAAGAGATCTTATCTTTTACTCCAACCCTGTCACTTTACAGAGGAGAGATCAGAGAGATAAAGTGACTTACCTGAGGTCACACAGCTAGTTAGGATTACTCAACTTGTTCTTTCTACTATATTATTTTCCCTCTCACAATAGAAGGCTTCTGTACAATTGTTAAGTGTGACCAGAGCAACCTATTGCCACACATTCTACTGTCTACCTCAATCCCAAAGAGAAAAATCATATTAAAGAACTACATCATAGGGGCAGCTAGGTGGCTAAGTGGATAGAGCAACAGCCCTAGAGTCAGGAGGACCTGAGTTGAAATCCAGCCTCAGACACTTGACATTTACTAGCTGTGTGACCCTGGGCAAGTCACTTAACCCCATTGCCTAGCCCCCCCCCAAAGAACTACATTATTTCCCAACTTCTTAATAATAGGGGGCGATTCTTACATGAAAATGAATTTTTCCTTTCCTCCTATCTCTTACTTCTATAATGGTCTTTTCTTCCTGAAATATGTGGATGGTTTCTTTTTTATTTCCATGGTTCTTCCCCAGTCCCTTGAAATGGACTGTGCCCCACCAAACAGCATCATAATATCACTCTTTTCTGTCTAATGTACTATTCCACTAGGATTATTTTTCTTCTCTCTTCTCTGTCCCCTTTCCAGCAGTGTGCAATTCTAGCATCAGTGCACACATATCCTTTCTTTAACAGCCATCAGAAATTTTGTGTGCGTGTTATTTTCTCCCCTTTCTACTCCTCTATCAAAAAGCATTTGATAATTTTAGATTGCAGACCGTTACACCAAAAGTACTTGGGTTTCATCATCCTCTCCCCTCTATGAGTTATTCTTATAACAACTCACATTTACATTTTTATTTTTATATATTTGTGTATGACTCACAATGACCTTGGAAGATAAGAAGTATAGGTATTACTATCTGTGTTTTACTGATAAGGAAACAGGCTCTGAGAGTTTAAATGACTTGCCCAGGGTCACAATTCCAGTTCCTACCCTACAATGGGTTATTTTACAACAGTAGTAATAGTAACAACACAATTCTATTGCAGTATCGACTGCACAAGATTATTGGGGAAAAAAGTGGGTTTTTTCCCTCAATCTTAAATAGCTATACAAATGTGAACTATTATTTTTAATATTATTCCCTTCCTCAAATTCACCTGTCAGGTTGAAACTGATGCCCTTGTTCTGGGGGAAAATGCAACGAATGCTTCTGGCCTTTCGGCTACGGGACTCGGAGGTTCCCTCCACAGGACACACCATGAGAAGGGAAGCATTCTTTCCCATGAAAGTCTCCATCCTACCCTTCACCTTCCCCTTCTCTTCCAGCCAAGCCACAGAGTCTAGGAAAACTGCTGAGACCACTGAACAGACCAGTATTGAGCAGAGAGAACCATCAGTAGTTTTTGCTGATAGCTGGAAGCCTGTTGGGAAAAAAAAAGGGGGAGGAGGAAGCAATACACTGTATTATCACCCATGTTCACCAAACCCCTACAGTCCCAGTGAACAACTGGGGCAGCCAGTGGCTTTTACCTAGCTTCCTTCATCTTCAGAGCTCAGTGTTCTCAGGGAAATGGATTATTGTGATGACAGAAGAACCTGGCAAGGGGCTTCATGACCACATATTCTCCCTCTATCCTCTCCCCAGAGGTCTCCCCATTTCCTTTGAGACTCCCTTGGCCCCCTGTATCCTCTCTCTTCTCTTTATCCCCAAGAGATTCCACAAACTCCCTCTCACCTCTGATCACAGAGAGGTCATATACCCTCCAGTTATGGTACTTGAAATATTTGCCAAGCAGAGCACACCAGTATCGTCCTGCATCCTCCTCTTTAGCCCCTTCTAGCCACAGGGAATTATTCCCCAGCAGACTTAGCCTGACTTCCCTCAAGGTCTCTATCTTTGGAGGCTTGTTAGCCATGGGGATACGGATCACTAAGATAGTAGGGAATCCAGACACAGGGCTTCGGAACCATGATAGCTCCTCATCTCCATACAAGGTAGGTGGTTCAGGGCATGGTAGTTCCACAGTCTCCCTGAGGGCCACATATGCAGACAGGATATGACCTATTTGGAAGAAGGGTGATTGATAGGAGGTTAGTCCAAAAAGAGGGAACAGACCCCACCCTACCCCCATCTGACTGACTTCTTTCTTCCTTTCTCCTTATAGGCTTTGTCATATTCTTGATTGTTCTAGGTAACACAGTGGATAGAGCACCAAGTCTGGACTCAGGAAGACATGAGTTCAAATCTAGTCTCAGATACTAAATAGCTATGTGTTCCTGGACAAGTCATTTAACCTGTTTGCCTCAGTTTCCCCATCTGTAAAATGGAGATAATAATAGCACCTTCCTCCCAGGGTTATTGTAAGGTAAATGAAATAATAATTATAAAGTGCTTACCTCGCACAGTGCCTGGCACATAGTAGGCACTATATAAATGTTAGCTTATTATTATTATTAATATTACCTGTGGGAGGATACTCTTTCTCAAGCTGTAGAATGCAGTTGCAGAGAAGAATGGAAGGAAAATTTTTTCCTTTTATGGGAAGGAAGACATAATGGGAGACATAACCAAGCTCTAGCTGGAAAGGGAGAAATGGATTTCCCTTTCTTGACTCCCTTTCCTAAGAATGGAATCATGCAAAAAGATTGGGAAACAATAGGGAAACCCAATCCAAATTTTGCCTTTCAAGACTCTTTCCAAGAATGGAGTTACCAAAAGAGGTCTGAAGACACTGGACAAGTGAACCAAAGGAAATTTAAACAAAGGTGTCAATGGGAGAAAAAATTACCATTAGGTCATGGATGAAGGTGCCTGTCATACTCCACCGCCACTACTAGATAGAGATACATGAGTTGCTGTTCTCTTTTTCTTTCCCCAGCCTGCCTCTAGGCAGTCCCTCCTACCATCCCTGGATCAGAACGGTTATGCCCTGTACCCTATTTATTTCCACAGTCTCCTTGGCTTGATTTCATCATTACATATGGGGGAGGTAGAGATAATGGGCAATTCTCTTGTGTTGCTGTGTCAGTGAAGATTAGGAACACACCTCCACACTAACATCAGAACACCCCTCCTTCCCCACCCCTCATCCAGAGAAAAGTGTAAGACCCCTAATCTTGAGGACTCCACCCACTGCTACTCACCTGAGGAGATCTGAGAGATGAATGGGAGTAGGAGAAATAAGAAGCAGAGGAGTATGCAAGCCATGGGAAGTATCTACACAAGAATGCTTTCACAGGGAGATGAGTGTCCTAAGAAGGAAATAGGGTCAAGATAACAGACCATAGTTCCAGGGGCCTGGATGATATGGTACCCCCATGGAGATGAGAATGCAAGCAATAATAAACTAACAGCTATTCTGTCCACTGGAGATAAGAGGATAGTGGCCTCTCTAGGGTGTGTGTTGGGGGAGTCCCTTCAGCCCTTCATGGACTCCCAGGGCTTTCACATATGGAGGGGCCCACTGACCATTTCCTGTAACCCAGAAAGGATTATAGTTGATAGAACATTATGCCATATTTAGAAACTCTCAAGCCTTTGCACAGCTTTTCGATTAGGGGCACATGACTGTCTTTGGCACAGCAAAATAAGGGGGGCCAAAATAAGAGACACTTTTTAATGCTTTTTTGGCTAGGCAATGGGGTTAAGTGACTTGCCAAGGGTCACACTTCCAGTAAGTGTTATATGTCTGAAGCTGGATTTGAACTCAGGTCCTCCTGACTCCAGGGTTAGTGCTCTATCCATTGCACCACCTACCTGCCCCTAATGCTTTTTTTTTCCAAGTATATATTTTTAATGCCAGAGAATCCCAAGACATATATGTATTTATGGTGCAATTATTATGATGAAGACAGTCTCTGATAGACAGTAACACAGGGGGCACAGTAATCAAATCTTGCCTAGAGTGGACAAATAGCTTGTCTCAGCTCTGTACTACTCTCTCTTTTTGGCCTATCCTCAATTTACTCAATCCATTGAATCAACTGGGCAATTTACTTCCCTTTTCCAGATCTCAGTTTCCCTATCTTCAAAATGAGGTGGATTGACTAGGTAATTTCTAAGGGTTTATTTTTTTTCTAGCTCCAGCCCCTTGTGACTCTGAGTTGTTCTTAGTAAAGTATAATGTATTGGTCATTGTTTCCTGGTATACCTCTCATTCCTCCATCAGACTGGGATTTCCCTGAGAGTAGGAATCTAAATGCTATTTTAATTTTTTATTTAAATTTTTATTGACATTTTTTATCTCCTCCTTCATTTCCTTCGTTAGAAATTATGGCTTTTATTGGCATTTTTTTGTATTCAATAATAGAAAAATCCTAGCTTGGATATCCATTGGCTCCCAGAATGCAGGTGGTATTCCAGTCAAGGGCTTGCCTATAGCTTTCCTTTCCTTGTTTTTTTTTTGATTAAATTATTTTCAATGAACAAAAATCTATTTTCTCTCTCTTCTACCTTTCCCCATTGAAAAAAGAAGGGAAAAAGAAAAACCCTTGAAACAAATATGCATAGTAAATCAAAACAAATTCTAACATTGGCCATGTCAAAAATGTATACCTTATTCTATAACTTTCTGTCAGAAGGAGGGTTACATGCTTCATCCTAAATCCTCTGCAGTCATAGATGGTCAATGTGTCAATCAGAGTTGTCTTTTGTTGCTGTTATTGTATACATTGTTGCTGTTATTGTTCTGGTACCGCTCATTTCACACTGCACCAATTCACACAAGTGTTCTCAGGTTTCTCTGAAACTGCTCCTTTGATCATTTCTTACAGTATAATACTATTCCACTACATCCACATACCACCATTTGTTCATCATTCCCCAAATGGTGGATACCCCTTTAGTTTCTGGCTCTTTGCCACCACAAAAGTTTTTGCTAGAAATATTTTTGCACTTTCTTTCTTTGATTCCTTTGGTAGTAGTGGTGGGCCTAGTGGTGGTATAGCTGGGTAAAAGATTATATACAGCTTAATGATCTGTGGGACACAGTTCTAAATTGTTTTCCAAAATGGCTGTACCCATTCACATTTCCCTTAACAGTGCATTAATGTGCCTGTTTTCCCACAGCCTCTACATTTGTCATTTATATTTTTTGGTCATCTTTGCCAGTCTAATAGGTGTGAAGTAGAATTTTGGGGTTGTGTCAATTTGCATTTTTTGAATTATCAGTGATTTGGAGCATGTTTTCTTATGGCTGTTGATATATCATTTGGATGCTTTTTTTTGAGAACTGCTTATTCACATCTTTTGATGATTTATCAGTTGGGATCGAATGACTCTTGTTCTTATAAATTTGAATCAATTCTTTGTATCTTCTGGAAATGAGACTTTTATCAGATAAACCTGCTCCAAAGATATTTTTCCAAGTTAACTCCTTCCTTCTAAAACAGTCATATTATTATGGCTCCCCCCCACCAGAAAACCATCCCATATAACAAATAGTATTTTTTAAAGCAAAAAAGATGAAAAATGCCCCCACAAAAGGCCTCAGACATTTACTAGTTGTATGACCTTTGGCAAATCACTTAACCTTGTTTGCCTCAGTATCCTCATCTGTAAAATGAGGTGGAGAAGGAAATAGCAAACCACTCATGTATCTTTGTTAAGAAAACCGCAAATAAGGGGCAGCTAGGTGGAGCAGTGGATAGAGCACCAGCCCTGGATTCAGAAAGACCTGAGTTCAAATCGGGCCTCAGACACATAACACTTACTAGCTGTGTGACCCTAGGCAAGTCACTTAACCCCCACTGCCCAACCAAAAACAAAACAAAACAAAAAACAAAAAAATCAAAAAGAAAACCCCAAATGGGGTCATAATGAGTCCGACATAACGGAAGTGACTGAACAACAACATTTATATAATACTTGAAGGTTTGCAAAGTGCTTTACACATGTTAACTCATTTAAGTATATAGAGTAGATGGAACAGTCTTAGAAAGGAAGGTACTAGTAGGTTGGGAGAATGGGAAAAAACTCTTAGGGATTTAAAAAAAGTCAGGGATTCTAAGAAGTGGAGTTGAGGGGGCAGAGCATTCCAGACATGGGGAGCAGCCAGTGCAAAAGTATGGATATAGGAAGTGGAGAATAACAAGAAGTAAGACTGGACCATAGAGGAGGAGGGAAGTACTGTGTTAAACACTAGAAATACAGCAAGAGGCAAGGTTGTGAAGACCTTTAAAAGTCAAACAAGGGACAGCTTGGTGGTACAGTGGATAGAGTACTGGTCCTGGAATCAGGAGGACCTGAGTTCAAATCTTACTTCAGACACTTAACTAGCTGTGTGATCCTAGGTGAGTCATTTAACCCCAACTGCCTCACAAAAAAAAAGTCCAACAAAGTAATTTATATTTGATCCTGGAGGGAATAGGAAATAGGTATGAAGCAGCGTGTGTGTGTGAGACATGGTCAGACCTATGCTTTAGAAAAATTCACCTTGGCAACTGAGTGGAGGATGGACTGAAGAAGTATAGGTGAGAGAGACCATGGCTAGATATATAGAACTGGGATTCATCAGCACAGAGATGATTATTGATTATCAATCCCATAGGAGCTCATGACACTGACAAGTAAAACAGTATAAATATAGAAGAGGACCTTAGACACTTTTGGAGGACACCCATGATTAGTGATATGATGTGATAAAGAAGCAATAAAGGAGACTGAGAATGAACAATCAGAAGGAGGAACAGTACAGAGTAGCGGTGCAAAAGTTTACAGAGGAAAAAGTATCCAAGGGGTGGTATATGAATGTAATGGAATACTATTGTGCTATATAAGAAATGATGAACAGGCTGACTTCAGAAAAACCTGGAAAGACTTGTAAGGTCTGATGCTGAGTGAAATGAGCAGAACCAAGAGAACATTGTACACAATAACAGTCACGTTGTACGATGACTAATATTCATAAACTTAACCCTTCTCAGCAATACAAAGATCTTAGACCTATCTCCAGAGGCCTCGTGATGGAAAATGCTATCTGCATCCAATGAAAGAACTATGGAAGTTGAATTGCTATTTTTTTCTCTTCTGTTGAGTTTTGTTTCCTCTTTCTGATGGTTCCTCCGATTGGTTTTAATTTTTACTTACAACACCACTAATGTGAAAATATGTTTAATAGGAATGTAAATGTGTAGCCTATATTAGGTTGTGCGCCATCTTGGGGAGGGTGGTGGGGAGGAAAGGGGAGAAAAATTTTAAACTCAACAGCATATGGAAGTGATTATTGATAAATCAAAATAAATTAATGCGATTTTAAAAAAAAGAGAGAGTCTCATCTATAGGATGGGGGAACAAAGAGCCAGAGAGTTGGAAGGAGAAGAACCTACCTTTTGGTTGAGAGAATTGCATATGTTTAGCCTGGAATGGATCAATACATGCAAACCAGGTCAATTCTGGTGGAGTCTGGCCTATCAAAATTTCATTATATTCATCCCACAATCCTAGCTTGTCGAAATAGTTTTAGAACATTATTGACTGTCATCCCAGTTAGCTATCTTTTTCAGATTTGTGTTATCTGTAAATTTGAAAAACATGACAGCTATGTTTTTATCCAAATCACTGATAAAAATCAGCACAGGGTCAGGGACAGATCCCTGGGGTTGTGTACTTGAGACCTCCTTCCAGGATGATACTGACTCACTCCTTTCAGATGAAGAAATTAAAGCCATCTATAGTCATATGAAAAAATGCTCTAAATCGTTATTGATTAGAGAAATGCAAATCAAAACAACTCTGAGGTACCACATCACACCTATCAGATTGGCCAACATCACAAAACAGGAAAATGATAAATGTTGGAGAAGATGTGGGAAAATTGGAACGCTAATACATTGTTGGTGGAGTTGTGAAATGATCCAACCATTTTGGAGAACAATTTGGAACTATGCCCAAAGGGCTACAAAAATGTGCATACCCTTTGATCCAGCAATAGCACTTCTAGGGCTATATCCCAAAGAGATCAAACAAATGAGAAAAGGACCCACATGTGCAAAAATATTCATAGCAGCTCTTTTTGTGGTGGCAAAGAATTGGAAATTGAGAGGATGCCCATTGGTTGGGGAATGGCTAAGCAAATTGTGGTATATGAATGTAATGGAATACTATTGTGCTATAAGAAATGATGAACAGGCTGACTTCAGAAAAACCTGGAAAGACTTATATGGTCTGATGCTGAGTGCAGTGAGCAGAACCAAGAGGACTTTGTACACAATAGCAGCCACGTTATGCTATGACTAAGAATGTTAAACTGAACCCTTCTCAGCATTACG